CATGGCTCCCTGGGGATGCCACAAGGTCAATAAACAGGAGGCTTTCACAGGACTGTGTACTTGTTCCTGTAGAGATGTGAAGAACACTCCACACCTGACTCCTGACTCCCCTCTCCAACAGTGTGTTCTTACAGAGATATGTCAAGACCAACTCCTGACTCCCGTCCCCAACAAAAAGGACCAAATAAAAAAACCCTCTCTGTAAATGACAGAGAGCTACCGATTTTCCCAGCTCACTGTCCTTCTCTAGGGGCAGCTTTTCTTTTCTCTCTAATAAATCCTACTTTGTGTGTTGACCTTGTCACAAGTCAGTCCACTGCCTCACAAGCCAATTCTTTGGCCTGTGAAGGCAAGAATTCTCAACACTGGCCAGCAACAATGGTATTTCCACATCTCATCAGGGATGGGTCTGGTCCCAAATTTATTTAAGCTTCTTCCCTATTTCCCAAAATAATTGTAATACTTTCCACATACTAACCCTTTTATCATCTCTGAAGCTACAATGCCACTTCATTTCTCTGTGTTTTCCTACATGTATCACTGCCTTTACTTGGCCAAACTTTTCTTCATCCTCTAGACTAGCTATTCCTTGATGACTCCCTCAAGTACTCATCTGTAACCCCCACTACACTCAGTTTATACCACTAAATTGTATTTGTGCCATAAGTATGTATTTACAAATCTGTTTCTCCAACTAGATTATAAGATCCTGTAAAGCAAGTTCATGATGCTGTATCCACATGTTTCCTAGTGTTTAACACTATGCTTAGTAGAAAGGACACAGTGCAAATCTATTGAATGAAAATTTTTTAAAGTATGAAGTAATTTCTTTGAGAGGTTGAGAAAATATCTTCCTATGAGTAATAATACTTTACAACATCAAATCTAAACCTGATATATAACTTAAGTTTTTTTATATTTGCCAAGGAAAAACTTTGGTAATTTTAACAATAGATTACATCAATGAATTCAGGAATCAAAAACAAGTTAATGGCTAGTCAGAAAAGGTAATTACTCCACTAAACATACTGACTTATGAGCCAGGTATTATATACAATATAAAGTATGCTCTTACCTAGAAAAGGAATCTGTAATTTTCTTAAATTACAGCCATCTTTTTACATAAGTGAGGAGGGAAAATAGAGATAATCCAGTTCAACTACCTTATTTCACAAATTTAGAAAAAATAATCATAAAAAAAGAATATTAACAAATTTAGAAGGAACATCAGGGTCAGAACCAAGTTTTATTCAAAATGAAGGGCTCACTCAAAGGCACTACATTATAATTCCAAATTATTCCAAACTTATTCCATTACTTCTTGTGCGAATATAATGAAGAACGACAAGAATAGTCCAAGTAGGAGTTTGTACACCTAGATTCTTACCTATGCTACCTTTGTGGGATTTTGGACAAATCACCTAACATTGTAATACTACCATTATTATCATAATCTCACTTGGAATTAATGCAAGAAACGAATGGAAGCCATCATAAATGGGAAAGTATGATCTTCTCCATCCTCATTCCCTCAGATTCTCCAGGGTAGTCGCTTGGAAATATTTCACTCTATCTGAGAGAGCTGCGGGGGACTATTAAACTACTACAATTATGACCAATTTTGTTGTTCTTGTTTTACAAGAGAAAGCAGGAAGAGGAAGTTGTTCAGAATGGGCAAATAATCTCTACTCAAAGGAAAGTATTATTCACATCTCCTATCAATTAAAGAATATTTGGGAAATATAAGTTCTTAATACTACTAGCTCATGTTGGAATTATCAGTACCCCCAGCACAACCCCTACAAAACTTTTTGCCACTAGTATATTTCAGAAAAATCTACAGTAGTTACTTGGGTCCTATTTATTTTTTCCTACTTTCCTGTAGATGTGTTCAAAGCAGGGACTCAGTCTTTATCCTTCAAGAGTTGTTTATGGGACTGGGGTAGTTTATGGTAGAGCACTTGCCTAGTATGCATGAGGGTCCTAGAAGGAGGGAGGAGAAAGGAAAGGAGGAAGGGAAAGAGGAAGGGAAGGAGGGAAAAAAAGGAAGGAAGGAAGAAAGGAAGGAAGGAAGCTGTTTATGAATTGTTTTACTAGGTCAACATTCATCTGAAACATAAAGCTAGGTTGCTGGAGTTGTGTGAAAGAAGTGAATGCAAAGGGAGAATTGAATGAAAACAGAAAAGGATTATTCTTCCCTTTGACTTCCCCCAACTCCTTCTCCATCTCTATCAAGGTCTAGGACCTAGACCTTTACAACCTAGGCTCTAGGTTTTTGCAGAATTACTGTACTAACATCCTACATATCTATCAGTTTATCTATAGGTTTTGTTATATTGTTTAAAAAATACAATCTTTTCACTCCAGGCATGAAAATATTTAAAGTATATCAACTGGATATTTTATAAAAGCTAATGATTTGGCAAACAAATCTTGTAGAACACTCACCATATAAAAATATACAAAAAAATAATTTTTAAGAAAAAAGTAGGCATTCTGTGAATTTTGTTTACATTTAGAATCTCATTCTCCTGTAAATTATAATACTTTGCTTATATAAAATCAAGTTATAAATCATATATTTCACTTTCTCCTGCATGCATAATTTTCAAAAATGTCAGAAAAAAAAATCCTTGAGACAATACTAGCTTATATTTCAAATTTCATATAACCTTCTCAGCCTAATTCAGATACTTGTATTGCAGTATAAAATCTATAATATGGAAGCACAGAATATTTGGAGTCCACAGTTAGTCAATTTTTCCCCAAATTTCCTAAGAATCATCTGTATTAAAAATACAAATCATCACAAAGAGATTCTGGTTCAGTTGCTGTGGACAGAAAAAAAAAAAAAAAAAGAATCTTTACTCTTGCTCAAAGTGAATCTGATGATTAGCTAGGAAAACACTCATAAGGAAATGAAGAGACAGATCCGGTGGTTCTCAACTTAGCACATCTACCTAGGGAGTTTTTAAAACTTAAAACCCAGGCAGAGGGCCAGATGAATGGAAACAGCATCAGTATGAAAAAGATCTCCAAAGAAGGTGGAGAACCACTGATTTGGTAGAATTTGACAATTTCTCATAGATCCTCTTATCAACTAAGAAAATAGGCTTGTTCAAGTTCACAAAGCTAAGTGGTTACAAGGCTGGAGCTAAAACCATTTCTCTTGACTCCTAGTTCACTGATTTTTGACATAGTTCATGTGACTTGACAAAAAATGTTTTTAAAAATTGTCTTTTTTTTCTCTTAGAATACTGTCACTTTACAACTGGATGAGTTAAAATAGAAGTAGAAAATATTTATTCCAACTCTAAAAAAGACTAAATATCACTACTAATCTTTAGTTCCTACTAAGCTGTTAATATAGCTTAAAGAACTGTTCAATGTTTTCATTTTAACTCTAAATTCATACTTTAAATTTTAAATTGTTTTTCTTTTGAAACAGGGTCTCATTATGAAGCACAGGCTAGCCTGAATTCATCATCCTCTTGCCTCAGCCTACCACACTGCGCCTCAAATTCTTCTAAAAACCTGCTATCCTTTAAAAATCTGCCATCAATTACTAGCGTAATTACTTTAATTCCTAAATTTGGTGACATGGTCATTATGTAGAATACATAATACTACATACTGATGTTACTAACAAATATTTCTACCTATTGATGTCCACTAACAGATAACAGATTTCTTTTTTACATATTAAAGAATGAATTTTAAGATGCATTAGCAAAACCGCATCATTGGTTTCTCCACAGACTTCTCAAGGTATTAGTTTCCCCATTCTAAGGATTCTTTTTAATAAAAAAAGATGGCGTTGCTCTAGGGATGTAGCTCAGTGATTAGTGTTTGCCTATTAAACCTGAGGGCCCTGGGTTCAATTCCCCAGCACAACAAAAGATGTTTTTTAAAAATCATGAAAATATCTGTCAAGTACAAGGTTGTACACTTAAAACTTTGTGAGTGCATTTTGCTTTCTAAAAATTCCATTTGATTGACTTGCCTTCTAGGGGAACTACTTTTATTATTGCAGTATTGAAGTCGTTTCACACTTTTATCCCTCTCAAGATTGCCAGATATTTAGACACTTCAAATTTCAATGTTTGTGATTTTTTTTTTTTTTTTTGCTTCTGGGTTTAAAAAAAAAAAAAAAGTGTTTGTAATGGTTTATCAAAAGATCACGTTACTCCACAGGTAAAACTTCAGCAATTCTTAGTCTTAGGGTCTGTACTAGAGTACAAAGTATACTTTTGACTATTCCTATTCACAAAGGCGTAATTGTGAGGGTTCTAGATTTCCAAATTAATAATCTAAATAAGAACCAGATGCAAGGGATTTTGTTCCAGGAATTTTAATGAGTGAAAGCGCGCCCCCCTCCACTTTTTAAAATGATTTAGATACGAATGTAAATTTGGAATCTATGCAAAACCCTGCTCAAGTACACTATGCAAATGCCCCTCCCCCCAAACCCTTAAATGCAAGGTGCCACTGAAGACACAGCAAAAATAAATGAGGAAGTCTGAGTGCTAGCTGACTGTTCAAGGGCTAGACCGAATCATCCGTGGAGTTCTGGACTTGCTCCGCTGCAGTCTGTAAGGTCTAAGTATTCGACGTCAACCTATTGAACTTGAAGCTCGCCCTTTCCAATCGCAAGGGGTGAGCCTCGCTAGCACGTGGCGGGGGAGGAGACAAGGAGGGAAGACTTAATTTTTTTTTTTTCCTCCGGGGTGCACGCCGGTTCCTGAGCATCCTCGGGTCCCGCAGGACCGCGGCGCGCAGCCCGGCGCGTGGCCGCCCCCGCGGGCGGGGGTCTCGCACGTGCCGCGGGGCGGGGCGGCGCTGGCGAGCGGCGACCCCGGCTCGGGCCCGGCGGCCCGAGGTCTACCGAGCCACACGGAGACGGCTAGGTCATGCAGGAAGCGCCCGGCCCCGGCCCGCTCCCGCCGCCCGACCCCTCCTCCTCTCATCCGACAGAAAGACAGACAAGAAGGGTTCCCGACCTGTCGTGCCCTGCATGTTCACAGTCTGTCATGTTTGGTCAAGAACGGGGCGGGGCTGGAGGGCAGGTCTGGAGGCCGGCGGCGGCGGGGCGCGGGGAGGACCCCTGCGCCGCCTGCGGGTACCTGCTCCCGGCCGCCGCCGACAGGTGACGAAGTGGTAAAAACTCACGGTTACTAGTGAGCGACACAGACACAGACTTTCCAGTCTATTAACAACCACGCCAGAGAGATGGGGCTCTAACTGCAAACACTGGGCAACGGCCCCGCGCTGCCGGCGCTGCCGCTCTAGTCTCTATTCGCCGCTGGTGGCTGAGGCGTGGGAGCGGGCGGGCGGCGGGCGGCGACACGGGGATTTGGACAGTGGCCGTAACGGTGATTTCTCCTCGCCAACATGGCGGCACCCGAGAAAAGTGACTCGAGAAAATGGCGCCGGCCGCAACACCTTGCCCGGGACTAAAGGGCAAGTGAGATTCCTCCGCGAGCCTCAGCCCTTGCTCAACCCGCCGGGGACGAGTGCCTTGACTATTGGATAAACTGCCTGTCAATCACCTCCAGGGGCGAGTCTCCACCGTGCCTGGCGCAGCGGCGGAGGCGGCAACCTGGGAGCCTGAGCGGGAGGCGAGAGACCGGCTCGGAGCCGGGGTGGCAGTCCGTGGCCTGCGTGGTGCTGGAGACGCTCGCTCCCGACCACCGGGCGTTTCTGACTCTAGTCTGCTCTTTTTAAAAAGAAAACCCGAGTTGGTGAAATTATGGAGAAACGTCCTTTCTCCTTCAGGGTGTGGCATTCATCTCTAATGTTCAGTGCTCAATCGTATTTTGAGGGAAGTAGCGTGACATGCGGCTTTCATACTTACGCTGACTTTACCCAATCATAGTAGGATAGCAAAATTAAATTGTTGAAATAATTACATAAATTTGACATCTTGCAAGAATATTGTTTTATATGTAGAATGTACGTGAATATTTAATAAGAGCATGGAGGCGGTATTTTTTTTAGATTCAGGAGCGTGGCCTTCAGAAATAATCTTGTGGTTAATCTACCAAATACCCGCCTGCCTTCCTCTCTTCTTTGCTAATAGTGAGTTCTAATAGATAAATGGAGTTTAATTGAGGTGAAAAGTGTTGGATATCTACATTGAGAGGAATTTTTTGAGTTGACTGCAGCCATCGACAGCACCTGTACTACTGACAACTCTGCAGGTAGTCACCAAGTTCATCACTAAAGCTGTTCGGGAAACTGCCAGGAAGCATGTCTGTTTTGTCGGGAAGAACATTAGCTTTTGGAGTGACACTAGGATGTCAGGACTTTGTCTCTTTTGTAAACTATTTTACTGAATTTGGATAAACAGGATAGCCGATTTGAAGTGACCCAAAGGCATTTGAGGTACCATAGTTGACTTCACAACGGCCATTTTCTGCCAGCCTAACAGAACAGGACTTGAGTTGGACTTCACTGGGGGATAAAAATCTGTACTAGTACACATTGGAGGTTTTAAGTGAATATTTGCTTTATTCCCATTCATTGGAAAATTTAAACACATACACCAAAAGAATCTGGACTTCAGCCGAGTCTGAAAAACTATTTTGAAGAGTGTTGCCTCAAACAAGATTAAGATACACAGTTGGCAGGCTCCCTCTTCAGGGCAGGATTGGGGTGTCTCTTCTCTGGTTAACTGTCCTATTATGACTTCAGAATGGAAAACAGCTGATGGATATCCTACCTATGTTTAGCCCTTTACTCTTAAATTTTAATATACAGTTCAGTAATAGCTGTTTAGACTTTAAATTTCAAAATTATCAAATTCTATGAATGAATTAAACTTTTTAAATCAACATTGTATTGGAAAGTGACATTGCATCTTTCATTTTATAAATATGCAACATCTCATATACTCAACGCATATCTTGATACAATTTTATAATTTTTTCCTATATAGATCTATTCCTGAGAATTTGGTATTTTTATCTTTTGCTGCATAACAAGCTACCATAAACTTAGATGTTGTATTTAAGTATTTATGTATTTTGATACTGGAAATTGGACACAGGGCCTTGCACATGGTAAGTAGACACTCTACCACTGAGCTGCACCCCTCGCCCTAGTGTTTTATATTTTCCTTTCCAATTCTTAGACTCCCAGTTCTTTTCCTTCACTGACTGGGATCACTGGTGCTAGGACATCCACTACAGTGATAAGTAGAAGTGGTCGTAGAGGACATCCCCTTTCCCCAATTTTCGAAGGGATGATTTTTCCATTTAGGATGATGTCTAGGGATGTTGTATATACTCTCAGGTGAGTATATGTTCTTGTCTAGTTGTAATTTACCCAGAATTGTGTGACTGGTAGGTATTTAAAACTTTTGATTCTTTTGAGATGACCATGCTGTTTTCTCTCTTACTCAGTATGCCATCCAGATCCCAGCACACACACAGCATATTCAAAGGAATGACTGAAGAGAGTGTAACTGTGAAACTATTTGCAACCATGTGTTAGTTACAACCAGAGGGATGGTAAAGCAACCTTTCAATAGCAGGTATCAGCCTAAGCATGGAGGGATTGCAGGAAGGAGCTGAATCTAACTGGATGTCAGAGAGCACGGCAACAATTGCAGAGTTGTATCTTTCATTTTATGAATATGTATTATCTCCATATATTCAGAACTCATATCTCTCAATACAATTTTATAATTTTTCCTATATATGTCTTACATCTTTTATAGATGAGAGCTACCATATCCTCAGGAATATATTTGGTATTTGGAGGTCAGTCTCCATAGATGCAAAGCAGGACAGAGAAGTAAGGAGAGTAGTTCTAACAGACAAATGGGGAAATATTCAGTAAAATCCATTAATGTTACAAATCACATTTATGTATTCTCAATATTAAGACTTAAAGAATTTTTGTGCAGATGAGGCAAACCTAATTTGACTGTACTTTGTTATGTGTTTGTTAAATTTATTGGATTTTGTTACTGTTTGTCTATACTTTTTCATGTAGATTCATGAGTAAAGTAGGTCTCTAATTTTCCTTTCTTTTAATGTTTTTGACTTATTTTCAGGGTTATGCTGGCTTTGTAGTATGAATTGGAGAATATTCCTTTTTATTTATCTTTTAATCATTTGAAAGAATCTGTAAAAAGCTGAAAAAAAAAAAAAGGTTTTGCTCCTGGAAAGTTTAGAAGAACTTTTTTGTTTTTGTTTTTGTTTTTGGCTGTATGAGGAACTCAGGGTCTCACGCTTGCCAGGCAGGTACTCTACCACTTGAGCCATGCTGCCAGCCCTTTTTGCTTTTTTTATTTTTGAGTGTCTCCCTTTATGCCTGGGCAAGTCTGGATGGCTGTTCTCCTATTTATGCTTCCCACTATCACTGGGATGACAGGTGTGCACCAACATGCCCATCTTTTGTTAGTTAAGGTGGGATCTTGCAAACTTTTGCCAGGGATGAACTTGAACTGCAATACTGCAATCCTCCTGATCTCCCCCTCCAAAGTAGCTAGGATTACAGGCATAAACCACCGCACTTGGTGAGAATTGGCCTCTAGACTAGCTGAACATTCCATTTCTTTCTAGAAAGATTTTTCAAACCATTGCTTCAATTCTTTTACTACTAGTCATAGAACTATTTAAGGGTTTTATTTTTTCTTAAGTCAATTGCAGAGAATATACTTTTTCTGTGTATTTATACATTTTATCTAGATTGTCTAAGAATTTGCTCATGCCAACTGAAATTTCATGTATATTTAGTACTTTATTATTAGCCTTTATCTCTCTATTATTTGTAGCTATGCCACCTTTTCATTGTAGCATTAATCTTTTCAAGGTGTTGTCTATTTTCTTGGTTTGATTTTTGTCAAGAATTTCATTTTTACTGTATGGCTTTGGTTTTTGTTTGCAGTGCTGGGGCTTGAACTAAAGGCATATACCTTGAGCCACTGCACCAGCCCTTTCCTGTGGTTTTTTTTTTTTTTTTTTTTTTGAGATAGGTTTCACAAACTATTTTACCTGGGCTGGATTCAAACGATGATCCTCCTGATCTTTGCCTCCTGAGTAGCTAGGATTACAGGCGTTAGCCACCAATGCCTGGCCTGTATGGAATTATTTCCTGCCCTTATTTTTATTGTTCCTATTGCATTGATATCCACTCTTACCTCACTCTTGGTAGGCAGGCACTCTACAATTTGAACCACTCCATCAGCCCTTTTTGTGTTGGTTAATTTTGAGATAGGGTCTCACTTTATGCTCCTGGCATCCTGAACCACAGTCCTTCCATTTGTACTTTTACACATAACAGGGTTGACAGGTGCAGGCCACCATGCCCAGCCATTTACTGAGATGGGAGTCTTGCGCAGTTTTCTCCCTGGGCTGGTCTCAAATCACCATCCTTCCAATCTGCACCTCCCAGCTAACTAGGATTATAGTCTTGAGCTACCACATGCAGCCATTCCTAGTCTACTTGATAAAGTAATCAAGTAAAATAAATTGAAACCCTTCAGTATAATTTTGGATTTATCCATTTCTTCTACAGTTGTATCACATAAGGATGCATAAGTTGTATTAAATAAGTATATTTTACTAGGGGCAAAATTTTTCAAAGTTGTTTTGAAACAAATTATTCAGTGACTTTCTCCATTCCTAATAATGTTGTTTGTCCTACAGTCTTAATCAGTTTTTTAGTATTCATGTAGGTACAGAAGTTTTATTTTAGTTTTTGCCTAAAAACTCTTTTTATCCAGTATCTAGCATTTCACAAGCTCAGAGTTCTGTACCATCCTGGGAGAAACCCCACTTGGTTGTTGCATAGTATTCCTTTCATGATACTGATTTGATTTCTACTATTTTGTTGAAGACTTAAAATTTTTTAATATTTGATCATATTAATTGTATAAATTAATGGGTTTTGTTGCAATATTTCCACATATGCAGATATTATGCTTTGATAATATCCATCCTCCCTGTTGCCCTCTCCTCATACCTCCTCCCTTTGTTGAGGATTTAAAAATCCACATTTAGAGGGGATGAACCAATTCAGGGCATAATACATATATACATGGAAATGTCACAATGAAACACCCTGTATGGCTACCTTAAACAAACAAAAATGTGATTTTTTTTTTTCAAAAACAGAGAACAGGAAGACAAAACAGGTTCTGTCTGGGGTGCTGGTACAAGTGGGAGGGGGGAGGATATAAGGAAAGGGTGAATACGGTGAAATATTATGTACACATGTATGAAAATGGAAAAATGAGACCTGTTGAAAGTATTCCAGGAATGAGGGGAAGGAGGATAAAGGAGAACGATAGAGGGGGTGAATTAACTATGATAAATTGTAAGAACTTTTGTAATACCACAATGTACCCCCAGTACAACAATAACTAACTAAATAAAAATCTATGTTCAGGAGGAATATTAGTCTGCAGGAGTTGTTGCTTATAGAGGGCTTTTGTTTTTGTTTTTGGTCTTTGTCTTTGATTGTTTTTAGTATTGGAATAATGCTGACCTCATAAAATAATTTGGAAACTATTTTCTGTGTTCTGAATGAGATCACATAGAACTGGCATTTCTCTGGTAGAACTCTCTAGAAAAACTATCTTGTCCTTGAAACTCCTTATTTTGAATACAGAGGTTTTTTTGAGTTTTTTGTTTCGTTGCTGTGGTGCTGGGGATTGAACCCAGGGACTCAGGCGTGTTTAAGCATGTGCTGTACCACTGAGTTACACTCCTGGTCCTAGCTTCTTATTTTGGAAGGCTTTTAAGCTATGAATTTAGTGTCTTCGATAGTCTCTTTCTTTTCAGTTTTGCCATCGATCTCATTATCTTCTCAAAGAATTTGGTTTTGGTTTGATTGATTTTCTTGCTTTTCTGCTCTTTCATTGATTTTGCTGTTATCTTTAATACGTCTTTCCCTCTGCTGCTTCTTTTCTAATTTCTTAAGGTAGAAACTTAGGTTATTTGAACTCTTTCTTCTTTTCTAATATAAGTATTTAGAGCTCTAAACTTTTTAGTACTATCCCACAAATTTTGTTCTGTTGCCCTTTCATTTTCATTCAAAATATTTTCTAATTCACTTTGTGAATTCTTCTTTGACTTATGGATTATTAGAGGTTTGTTGTTAATTTCTAAATATTTTAAATTTTTCTGCTATTATTGATTTTAAATTCTGTTATAGTTCGAAACATATTATTTCAATTCTATTATATTTGTTTAGGTATATTTTATGACCCCATATAAGGTTAACTTTAATGAATGTTTCATGGGCTTTGTATATTTTATGCACATATATTTAGGATTATTTTGACTTTGGTGACTTTACATTTGCTTATGTAATACCCATCTTTAGTTCTGCTAGTTTCTTACTCTGAAGTAAGAATATACTAGACTGGGGACATGGCTTAAGTTCATTCTCCAGTACCACACACACACACACAAAATCTAAAAACAAAAATACTGAGTAAAATGAGAGTATATTCTAAAATAATGACTAAAAGTATATTACAGTAAATGCATAAATCAGTAGCATAGTAATTCATCATCATTATCAAGTACTGTCTGCTATATATAATTGTATGTGATAGACTTTGATACGATGGCAGCATTGCAGCTTTCTTTATACCAGCATCATTACAAATGCAAGCAATGCATTGTGCTGTGATGTTACAGCAGATACAGTGTCAGTAGGCATAGGAAATTTTTGACTTCATTATAATTATATGCAACCACTGTCAGTTACACAGTCTGTCCTTGATTGAAACATCATTATGCAACTTTGTACACATATATTTGTGCTTTATATTACATTAAGGATGAAATATTCCTAACTATTACAATAATTTCTGCTACTGGTCATGTGGTTTTAGTTGGTATTTGTGTAACTGCCTTCTGCCTCTACCCTTTGCTATGTTCTCTTTGCCCTCAGTTGGTCTTGGCTCCTTGCCTGGTGAGTAGCTCCTTTGAGTCACAAGTAGTGCTGTCTGTGATGGTGGTGTTTTCTGTTGACTTTAATCATAAAACATAGACTCACTTAGCCAGGAAACCATCTGCTTTCTAGACATATTGTTCCTTGACCTCATTGAGTAGTTAGTGTTACTCAATAGTGGAATTATCACCCCTGCCAGTATAAGTCCTTTCTTGTTGATTCACCGACCTGAGGAAACCTATGTGGCCAAATTGCAATCTGAACTTCAAGCTTAATGTAAAGATTTTCATATGTCTTAATGGAAGCATTCTTGCTTTTGCAATTATAAATCTAAACCAGTAGTTCTCAACTGGGGTGCGCTCCCTCTCCCCAGAAGACGTTTGAAGATGTATGGAGACATTTTTGTTTGCCATAACTGGGGACATCTAGTGGTAGAGGCCAGCCATGCTAAACATCCTAACATCCTGTCATACACATCTGTCTCCCATACAAACAATTATCCAACCCTAAATGACAATGCTGAGGCGAATAACATTGCTCTAACCAACAGAGAACAAAGTTGTGGAGTTTGGAAGTGAAAAACTTTCTGGGGCATCAGTAGGGATAAATGGAGATAATTGACTCCCATTTGCACCCTGGATTCCCAGAACCACAGGAAACACAACACCATTTATTAATGATTGCATATGCCCACAGGTATGGCACCTAGCTAGTGCTGTAACTGAGTTCTCAAGGGGACATTGCACCTTCTTACCACGGCAGCTTTCTTTTTTATTACTTTGGTAAAATGCACATGATACAAAATTTGCCATTTCAACCATATTTAATTGTGTAATGCAGTGGCATTAGTTAAATTCACACCATTGTGGAACCATTATCATTTAACTTTTTCCAAACTTTTCCATCACCCCAAACAGAAACCCTGTAACCATTTGGCACCAGTTCTCCATTCTCCTTTCCCTTCTGCCCTTGGAATCCCTAACTTTCTGTCTGTCTATAAATTCGTCTATTCTGGATATTTCGTGGATCATGGAGTCATACAGTATTTGTCCTTTTGAGTCTGTCTTACTTCACTTAGCATACCGTTTTTGAGATTCAGCCATGATGTGTCATATATATTCATTCCTTTTCACAGATAAATAATGTCCCATTATATGTCCATACATTTTGTTTATCCACTCATCAGTGGATGGATACAGGTTGCTCCTACCTTTTGGCTATTATGAATAATGCTTTAAAGCTGCAATGAACATAAGTGTACAAATATTTAAGTCCTTGTTCATAATTGTTTTGGTCATATACCTAGAAGTGGAATTTCTGGGTCATATAATTCTATGTTAAGGTCAGCTGCTCTGTAATTATAGGGAACATCACTTAGCTATTGCTGCATAGCAAATTATCCCAAAACTTTGTAGTTTAAAACAATAAATAGTGGTTTTGTATTCTCTTGTCAGTCAGGAATTTTGGAGCCACTTAGCTGGGTGGTTCTTTCCCAGGCTTCTCATGAGGTTGGAGTCAAGATGTTTTCTGGGAGATGCTTCTAAGGTAGCCCACTCACATGGTTGGTTCACTACAGGCTGCATGAGACTTTCATGACATGGTGACTGACTTCTAAGGTGACTCAAGAGAGTAAAAAAAACTATAATGGCCTCAGGAATCATGCACCATCCCATTTGCCATACTTCAATAGTGCCATTCTTCACTTTGAGCCACTCCACCAGCCCTGTTTTTATTTTATTTATTTATTTTTGTGAAGGGTTTTTTGAGATAGGGTCTCACGAACTATTTCCCTAGGCTGGCTTCGAACTGTGATCCTCCTGATCTCTGCCTCCTGAGTAGCTAGGATTACAGGCGTGAGCCACTGGCCCGGCCACACTCTTTCTTAGGAGTCAGCAAGTCCAGTCCATATTTAAGGACAGGAAACTATGGCTCCAACTTCTGAAGAGAAAAATGTTAAAGAATTTGTGAACACATTTTAAATTTACCACACTATTCATTAATTTCTGCACTATTTTTTTTTATTCCTGGAAGTTGTACTTGATTTTTTCCAAATACCCTGTCACTCTATGGCTTATTTTTTATCAGTTAGATAGTGTTGTATAAAAAACGAACTCTTCTCCTTCTGGTCCCAGGTGCTTTGGGAACCATAGATTACAGTGCAGCATGGCCAAGTCCAAGAACCACACCACATGCAACCAGTCCTGAAAATGTACAGAAATAGCATTGAGAAACACCAGTCACAAAGATGTGAATCCCTTAAGGGTACACACCCCAAATTCCTGAGAAACGTATTTTGTCAAGAAGCACAACATGCAGGCAAACAATGCAAAGGCTGTGAGTGTGCCTGCTGAATCTATCAAGGCCCTTGTAAAGCCCAAGGAGGTTAATGAAATATGCCAGCCTCAAGCTCCAGCAACTTGCTCACCTCATCCACCCCAAGCTGGGAAGCACATTCGTGCCCATATTGCCAAGGGTCACAGGCTCTTCTAGCCAAAGGCCAAGGCTCAAACCACAGCCCAGGCTGCAGTTCCAGCTCCCACTCTAGCTGAAGCTCTGGCTCAGGCTCCCAAAGGTACCCAGGCCCCCATGAAGATCCCATAGTAAAGGCCCTTGTCCATCAAAGTGAGTACCTCTCAGCTACTCTCTGCAGGGGGCTAGTGTCCTGTGTCCTGTGCTGTTTCTGCAAATCTGGGCAAGATCTGTTAAAAATAAGTTACTTCAAAACATAGTGGCTTAAAAAGACAGTATTAATCCAAAAATCCTATGTTAGTGATCTGGACTGGAGTTTCTTCAGTTCACTGCTGTACCTCATCATGTATCTGTGGTCAACTGTGCATTGGTTAAGTGGTTTGGCCTTTAGAGTTTTGTGGCTGTTACTCTCCTCCATTAGTATTATCCTTCACATTTCTGTTTTTCCCTTTTGCAGGGTACCCAGGTTTATTATCCAAAAGATGGCAGGAGTTCAAGAGAGAGTAGACGCAAGGCCTCCTAAGGTTTAGCCTTGGTGTTTTCAGGTCAATTCCTGCATTCTATTAGCCAAAGCAAGTCATTCTGTTAGCCTCAGATTAGAGAGGAGGTGAGCTAGGTATGGTGCATACTTGCAATCCCAGAACGAAAGTGGGAGGCCAGACTGGGCTACATAGCAAAACCCTGTCTCACAAAAAACAGGGAACAACAACAATAAAAAAGAGGTGAAATAGATCCTACCTCTTTTATGGGAGAAGCTGCAAAGTCACAATGCAGAGAATGTGGACACAGGGAAGAATTGAGGGCCAATTTTGGAATCAATCTACCACACATCTAGTCTTTTATAGTCTTTATCTGAAAATGATAGACTCTGATGCCTTTCTTTACAGGGCCAATTTTTAATATTTGATTATCTTAATCCATTAATCTAGTTTACTTTTGTGTCTATTTTATGCTCTATTCTGGACTCTTTTAATACCAAAAAGTATGTTTGGTAATAATTTGAGTTGAATGATACAGTACTTTTCTCCAAGGAGGGGATACCACTAGCTCTGATCTTAATTTTTCATGATTCAGATACAATAGGTGGTCATACTATTAAACAACAGAGAAAGTAGACTTTCTCCCCCAGGAAGACGTCTGGCTTCAAATAATTTCCTTGTCTGTGGAGTGACCCTGATTCATTCCAGGAATCAAACAATCCTTTCAGCTCCAGAAGCAGGTCAGCTTTTCTGTCATTGGCCTAACCAGTAGTTTGAACCTTTCTTTTTGCCATTTCCCTTGTACTAAGTAAAACCAAACAATTTCCAGTTTTTCAAACCTGCTGTGTTTTCCTGCCTTCTTACAATTCTCTATTCTTGGGATGCCCATTCACCCCCAATTTCATTCCTTCCTACGGAAAGTATCTCAGGGCAGTTCAAATTACACCCCTTTCAAGAAGCCTACCCAAACAGGTATGATTTTTTTTCCTCCTCTTGCGAATCGTTTCAACATTTGGTACTTTTAAATAACCTTTTTTGCCTTAATATAGTTATCTGTTTTTTGCCGGGCGCCGTTGGTGCATGCCTGTAATCTTTGCTACTCAGGAGGATCTTCAAAGCCAGCCTGGGCAAATAGTTCACAAGACCCTATCTCGGAAAAAAGCTTCACAAAAAAGGGCTGGCGGAGTGGCTTAAGGTATAGGGCCTGAGCTCACGCCATAGTACCGCAAATATATATATATATATATACATATATATATATATATTTTCAACTGTATGAATTATATTACCTGTCTACGCTCTTGTTTACTCATCTGAAAAACGCAGTTGATAATGACCCATTTTATATTTGGTAAAATTTGAAAATTTTACCAAAGGAATGGCAGCGTAGTGTTCAAATAAATGTTGGCTATCACTACTATTTCTTGGAAACACTGTGTTTGCGGTCGAACAGTTTTCATCAAAGTAAACGACGAATCCTAGGGATCAAGTCTTAAAACTACTCGACAGAAGTACGCCTTGGAAATCACCAGCAAGAGGGCAGAGGTGCGCATGCGCAGGAAGTGGGCGGGACGAGAACGGGCTTTCGTGGGGCGGGACCACGCATGCGCGAGGCGGGGCGTGCGGCCTGTGGCGCGTTCCTGGAGTCCTGCACTCGCGCTGTTATAGGAACGCGCTTGTTGGAACGCTGTAGTCACCCGGCGCGCGAGGGGGAGGCCCCGTTTCTGGGTCATGGATTTTGAAAATCTTTTCTCAAAACCCCCCAACCCAGCCCTCGGCAAAAAACCGGCCTCGGACCCTGACGAAAGGTGATCCCACATCTTTTCATCCTTTGTATCCTGGGGCCCCGGCTGGTATCCGCCCCTTTGTTCCTTCCCGAAGCCGTCCCGGGAGCGTTTGGGCCGGGCTGGTGGGGCGCGACGGTCGGACGTGGAGAGGTCTGGTAGGGGGCGCGGGGACCGAAGGCAGAGACTGACCCCCGGCCCGGGTGCCGGGAGCGTGGCGCGGGGAGCCGTCCGCGTGCGGGAGGCGCCTGTACTCGTCCCTGTGGGTGTGAACTCGGCTCCTGCTCTCATCTCACTTGCACTTACTCTGTTTCTTGTAAGTTGAAGCCCAAAGGACAGAGATCACTTGCGGGTTTGCAGCAAGGACGGAGCCCCAGGTTCATTAAACAATAAAGGATAAGTAATGAATACCCTGCCAGTGATCGGTGGACCCTAAAGACCAGAATAAAGCAACAAACAACGTTTCAACTTAGTATTAATGTTACGTTGAAAAAAACATGTAAGACTGCTGGCCATTCTTTGAGTTTGTAGTGCTAAAACCCCCCCTTTGTCTTGTGTGTCCCCCATTGTCCCTTTGTTAACATTTGGTACACATCCCTTACTCCATTTCCCTCATCTCAGATCTCCAGTGCTGATTTTACCTCCCTGTGTCTTTCATGTGTGTTCACTTCTGTTTCAAATACCTTAATTCAAACTATTCCCTTAATTCAGGCTACCATCAAGAGCTTTATTATATGCTTTACGTGAAATAACATTATTTAGTCCTCACAACAACCTTAAAGAGAAAATTAAAATTACATTGTCTTCATTTTACAGATGAGAAAATTAAGATCCTGAGGTTGATAACCTGCTAAGATTGTGTGGTGTAAGTGACAAAGCTAGGATTAAGTTACCTAGACAGTGTGACTTCAGGGCCCACACCTTTTTTATCACCTGTCTTCTAAAGCAGAATACTGAAGGTGAATTATGTTGAATAGGAAGTTGGTTCTGTTTGGTTTCAAAGGACTGGAGACTTACATGTTACAAGTCATAAGATAGACATCATCAAGAATGAGAGTATAGACAAAAGAAGTATGAGGGTTTGACTGTAAACTTTACAGTTGTAAAGTTGAGGAACCAAAAGAGAAGACTGAGAAGTCAGAGAACAAGAAACAGGGACAGCTCACTGCTCCTGAAGTCGACTTGTTTTACAGATGTGAGGATGATCATCTCCGTTCCATTCTGCATATAGGTCAGAATTGTAGGCCTTAATGGAATGGTGAAAGTGGAGTAGGCAGCGAAGAATAATAGGGTGTGGTTTAGGGCATGCACTTGTTCTCTAGCATTTTTATTTCCCATCCCTTCATCTCTTTTGGGCTTATTTTTAGTTTTGCTGGAATACCCTCAGGTAATGATCTCACATGATGTCTGTGTGGTCAACTCATTCCTATGAGTCTGAAAACTTTTTCATCTTCGCACTTGAATGTGTTTCTTCTAACCTCAGAAAGCACCCTGATTTTACTTGAAATACCCTTTTAATTTTTCTTTGTTTGCTAATTCTTATCATGTCTTTTAGATCAGAAGGTCTCTGGCCTCCAAATCTAGGTTTCTTACCACACTGTATTGAGAACGATTGCATTTTTCTACCAGGCAGATAGCTCTCAGGAGGTAGACAGGTTTTGTCTTTTTCTCTGTTGCACATCAGGATATAAGGCCAAGATACGTGGTGAATGCTCAGTATTTGTTTAGTGAATGGAATGATGGATGATTCACATAGCTGCTAATTCTTCAACATGAAGGTTTTATAATTTAAATTTTCATTTTACAGATTATTCATAAAAATATTAACATTTATTGTTCATAAGCATTATGTATTTGGAGTAGACTTTGAGTTTGGAATTTCATAGAGGGCAAGTTGAAGACAAACCCAAGCAATGAATTTTGATGCTGTGGTATGAATCCTTTTCAGGCTGAAAAAAAAATTTTTGTACTATTTGATTTTTTTTTTTCCTACAGAATCAATGATGAAATAGATGACAATGAAGTTGAAGAAACACAAAAAGAGAAAGTAAAATGGAAAGTAAAACTGAAGTGTGAGAAAATTCCCAAAAAAGTAAGGGAAAAAGTTGGATTATCTAAAAAACAGCTATGAATGATATGAGAAATCAATGAGGGGAATCCTGTTTGTCTCATGTTAGTGAGCATTTGGGACCCTGTTACTTGACATCGGGGAATCTTGGTTATAGTTTTGAAAGGATTTGTTGTTCAATAACCTTGTTGTCATTGAACATGAACTGTTTCTAGTAATTGCTTTTATTTTGATGTTCCTGTTTTTCCCTACAGCTGATGGATAATGTACCAATGTGGTGGACTGGTTGATTTTCCCTATTTCTGAAATGGATTGTAAACTGTTTGAAAAACTGCTCTCCTTAAAAATTAAAGTTTCTGGGTTTTTTTTTTTTTTGTTTTGTTTTGTTTTGTTTTTTTTGAAAAGTACTGAGGTTTGAACTCTGGGCCTTGCATTTGCTTTTTTTTTTTTTTTTTGAAAGTACTGAGGTTTGAACTCTGGGCCTTGCATTTGCCAGACAGGTGCTCTACCACTTGATCCATACCACAGCCCTTTTGGCTTTATATATTTTATCAGTAGGATCTCGCGGTTATGGCCAGGCCTCCCTAGACCACCATCCTCCTGATCCCTGCCCCTGAGTAGCTAGGATTGCAGATGTGAGCCACTGCACCTGGCTAAATTAAAGATTTTTATTTGCTACCTTAACCAGTGTGATTATTTATGTCTTAATGCCTGCATTAGTTGCTAGGGTTGCCATAGTAAAGTACCGCCAATTGGGTGGCATAAACAACAAATTCATTATTCCATACATGGTTCTGGCCACTGGAAATAAGTCTGAGAGAAACACATTGACTGGGTTGATCTCTTCTGAGGTCTGTGAGGAAAATGTGTTCCAGGCCTCTCTCCTAGCTTTTGGTGGATTTCTAGCAATCTTTGGCATTTCTTGGTTCACAAAAGCATCTCCCTGATCTCTGCCTTCATGTTCTCATGGCATTCTACCCCAATGTCTGTGTCTAAATATCCACTTTTTAAGGACATTAGGAGATTGATTATATTGGAATAGGGACCACCCTAATGACCTCTTTTTTTTTTTTTTTTTTTGGTGGTGCTGTGGTTTGAACTCAGGGCCTGTACCTTGAGCCACTCCACCAGCCCTTTTCTATAATGGTTTTGCTTTGTTCCAAGATAGGGTCTCACAAACTATTTGCCTAGACTGGCTTCAAACCGCAATCATCTAATCTCTGCCTTCTGATAGCTAGGATGACCTCATCTTAATTAACTACATCTACATTGGCCTGATTTTCATTCTGAGGTCCTGGAAGTTAGGATTTAGCCATAAGAATTTTGGGAGGACTCATTTTACCCTCATAACAAAACCAGTATCTGCTCTCCTCTCTTGCGTCTTTGTTTTTAATATTTTGTTTTGGGGGGTGTGTGTGTGTGTGTGTGTGATTTTAAGATACTACAGAAGAATTGGTTTTATTGGCAATGATACTCATATAAGATACAAGCAGCCTTTACAAAAGAATCCAATGAGACAATAAGGCAGCAACAGCATGTTCCTCTCCTGAGCTACTCAAGTAAACAACTTTTGCTCTTTGGGACATGTTTGGGACAAGCTGCCATGGAGGAACTGCAGGTTTAATTTCCCATAAATTTTTATACTTCCTCAGTCACATAAGCCCCAGTTCTTCATGCCCATCCTTCCCTCAGTCTGTATCTCACCCACTACAGCAGATAGGCAGGTAGAACATTATATGATTGTCTTAAGTAATTTCTAGTTCTGTGTCCAAGGTTTGCATCAGCCCAGGCACTTTATTCACATGAATATAAAACATGAATGTATAACATCGTGGCTAATTTAGAAGAAAGTACCCAGGTGCCTGCAGGTTGAGAAAGCATTGCTGTCTCCTTCCTCAGTCTTGATCCCCTTTCTCCTCCTAGAGATAACCAAAATGCTAACTTGTGTACTAATCACTTCCTCCTCCTTACCACTTAGTTTATCTTGCTTGTTCTTATTTTTTAAGATACATAAATATTGTGTGCACTTGTTTGTTCATTTTCATAGCAGCTTAGTATCCCATTATTTGAGTACACCAAATTTTATTGTCAGTAGACATTTGAGGTGGCTCTCAGTTTTGATGAAATGCTGTGCTGCTGCATTTTTTCACATGTATTCTACATTTACCAATGAAAGAAACTACTGAATCTTTTTTTTTTATGGTACTGGGGTTTGAACTCAGGGCCTCACACTTGATAGGCAAGTGCTGTATCTCTTGAGCCATGCCTCCAGCCCAGAAACTACTGAGTCTTTGTCAACACTCCTAACTGTATTTCAGAGTGGTTCTACCAGTTTTATTCCCAGAGGCAGTGTATGAGAGACTATATTTCTAATGCTCCAGACCAGGCCAATACTTGGTATTGTTACCTTTATTTTTGCTAGCTGCATGAGGGTACAGTGATATTTCAGTCTGATTTACTTAGCATTTTCTGAATTACTACTGATAGGGAGCATCTTTTGATAAATTTGTCAGTTTGAGATTATTGTTCCATTGTTTCTTACAGACTAGTCAAGTGCTAGTTCCTTTGGGAGTGTCCTGTTCTCTAGAAGCTTTCAGGTTGTTCTTTTTATTTGGGGTCTTCTTAATTACATGAGATTGATCTTTGTCTTTTCTTTATATTCTAAGAATTTTCCTCTATTTCTTTCATCTTTGTAAATCATTTAAGTACTTAAGAGCTCACTCTTATTTTGTTGGTGTAGTTTCTTTGGTAACAACATCTTAAATATTTTTATTTCTTAAATTTTGAGTTCTTTTCATTGAACAGTATTTGCTTCTCTGAACCAGTTTTTTAGTTTTTTCCTGCTTTTCTGTTTTATTCTCTAAATCGGGGTCTTTAGGACAAGACAGCAAATACTTTAGGTTTTTTTTTTTTTCCAGTAGTAGGGATCAAACCCAGGGCCTGTGCATGCTAGGCAAACACTCTACCATTGAGCTATGTCCTCAGCCACAATACTTTAGGTTTTTAAAGCTAAGAGGCAAAATAGAAGCCAGACATGGTAGTGCATGGCTGTAATGCCAGCTACTCAGGAGGTGGAGATAGGAGGATCTCAAGTTCAAGGCCAGCCTAGACAAAGACTTTATCTCAAAATAAACAAAGGGCTAAGGGTGTGGCTCAAAAGGTAGAGCAAAAAAAAAAAAGTCAAGTTGGACATATCATGGAGGTACTTATATAGCAAAAAGGGACAAAAGAAAGTTCTACATTTTGTCCACAAAATTTAGTATATAAATAAGTTTTTGTAATACAGGTTTACTTGTGAGAATAATTGAGATTTTTCTTTGTGGGATAATTATTTGCTTAATTAGGGTTCAAAGTTACTGTTCCCTATCACCAAAATTATCATAAGATTCATCTATTACACTGATACATAATAAAATTTTATCTGTTTCAACTCTGAAGGTATCTTTCACTACAGATAGTACTGCCAAATGCTGATATTAGTTAACCAGCATCAGTGATTTTAATTGAGTATTTTCATTGCCTGGAAGCCATTTGTGGAACTCTGTTGGATTCTTTTCTTGATTTGTGGCAGCTCATTTAAGTGGATTTTGAAGTGATAGTTTCCTATGCACTTGCATTAGTCTAAGGAAGCTCTGCTGGGATGGACTGTAACCTGAGTGTGAAAAATACCTGCTGCCAGTCAGTGTGCACTGGGTTAACTGTGGACAGCACAGTGATAAGAGCAGTATCTCTCATCAAGAACCAGGAGAGCCATTGAAATCATTGAACTTTTAAAAACATTGTTGAAGTCTTTTCCTCATGACTTTAAACAACTGTTATTGCCGAATGACCAATTGTCTTAACTTGATTTTCTCTGGACACATCTTTTCAACTGCTACAATCAAACAGTTTAATTAACTCACCACCAGCTTTCTCTGGCTATCAAATGAGCCACTCAGAAACTTTAGGCCTGGCATGGTGGTATATGTCTATAATCTCAGTACTCAGTAGGCTGAGGCAGGAGGTTTGTGAGTTTCAGGTTAACCTGAGCTGTATAGCCAGTTCAAAGCCAACTTGGACCACAAAGTGAGACCCTGTCTTAAAACCAAGGCCTAATTTGATTATAGCCCTATTTTCATTTTTAATTTCTGTGAAGAAGGAAATGTTACAAGATAGCATGTTTTAAATGTTCTAGTTTTTCTGTTACTAGAATGTATGTTGGGAATATTGTGATGAATGCTTAATGTTACAGTGTCAGCATATATTTTGGTTTCTTTACCCTACTGTATTGTTACATAATAACTGCAATGCTTTGCCATCTAATTTGACAACAAAGTAGTCCATATTTCACTATGGAGGGCTTAGTACCCACATGAGAAGTCTTAAGCCTTTACTAGGTATTTTATTCAATTCCTTTGGGTAATAGCCTTCTCTTTTTTCCCCCCCAAAGGAAAGTTCTTAGTTGATTTTATTCTAGTGAAGAGTACAGTAGGCAGGATTTATTATAATAGGTTTGTTTGTTTTTACAGAATTTTAATTCATCCTCCTTTTTTGCCCTATTTCTTACACTGCTCCTACACCCAATCTCTGGAGTATGACTTTTTTTTCCAGGCCAACCCTGGAAAAAATGTTATCAAGACCACCTTCTCAATAAAACAAGCTGAGGATGGTGGCACATGTCTGTAATCCCAGCTACATGGAATGCATAGATAGAAGGATCATAGTCCAGGCAGGCCCAGGCAAAAAACCATGAGACCCTATCTGAAAAATAAAGCAATAAAGGGCTGGGGTATGGCTTAAGTGATATGAGTTCAAATCCCATTACTGTCCCAAAAAAACCTTCTCAGTTACTGATGAATATATTTCATCTGTGTATGCACACATAATTATCTGTAGGTACTTTTATTTCTATGGGGGTATCAGGAAGCCATAATACTAGCTCCATAAACCATCTGGAATCAAAAGCAAGAAAATCTTTTACACTCTTACAAAAAAATGAAGAGTTGTAATATCATGTGTGTATAAATTATACAAAGAGCAGCAAACCAATCAGTGAATTTATAGCTAGCTAAATGAACAAAAGCATTCATTCGTATTTTGTGCATTTTAGTGCACTTTGGAAGGAATCAATAATATTTGCCTCTACTGGACAATAACATAGTTAACGGTTGTCTTGGTTTTACTAAGATGCCAGATTGTCCTGTGTCTTCATTCAATACAACACAAACATGTTATTACTTGTGGCAAAAAGATTCTGCTTCAGTACTGTAGACCTGTGTATTTTGTACAGTTGGGGGCACTTGTACAAAGATGAGTGATTACTCATTTAGTTTGGCTATTGTTAGATAGGTTGGTTGTCTAGTCTGGTGTCTTGCGTGGAATAATGAAGATAAGGTAACATTGATCTGTTGTCAGATCAAGAAATTTCCCTGAGTTGGGGATGTAGCTCAGTGGTTTAAGTGTTTGCCTAGCATGCACAAGGCCCTGGGTTTGATCCCCAATACAGCAAACAAACAAACAAACAAAAAACTTCCTCTGTTTGGACCCTTTGAGCAAGGAACGAGTTCATTTTCTAGGCTTACAGTAGTCCTCTGGTAGTGTGACTCCCACCTTTAAAGTTAACCATCAAAAGTAAACCATTAAATTGGACCACATATTTTATAATAATAGTTTCTTTCTTCTTTCTCTCCCTATTTCTTGGTTGCTGCCTTAGTGAATTAGGTAAAAGTAGTTCAGAGACCAGGTACAAAGCATGTTTGGGGAATTTGTTTGGTTTGGTTTGATTTTGGGGCTGCTGGAGCTCTGTTAGACCAGTGTACTAAACTGAACCATCCCCACCCCAACCCCTCAAGCATGCTTTGAAGCAGGTTCATTGGCCACAGTAATGATAGACTTGCCATCTCTGTCTGACGTAATTCTTGTCAGAATAGGAACCCTTTAGTACTTGGTCATTAAACAAAAAAATTTTTTTACTACAATTTATCAAACACATTAATATAATTACAGTTTGATGTATGTTTCTTACCAAGTGTATATACATACCTGAATAATCAATACATGGAAAGGTTCTTTTGTTTGTTTTGGTTTTGTTGTTGTTTTTAATAGGAATTACTTAAGGCATCTGCTGTAATCAGCTTGGGCTCCTCTAGGATCAGCTCTCATACCTTGGTTTCTGTTCCAGAGGGTGCTTGGGTTTTCTTTTGTTGCCTTGGGACCAATCCAGAGTATCATGTTTCAAGGCCAGCCCAGGCAAACAGTTAGCAAGACAATAAAAGTTGGCATGGTGGTGCAAGCCTATCATCCCAGCTTGTGGGAAGCATAAATAGGAGAAATGTGGTCCAGGCTGGCCCAGACATAAAAGTGAGACCATATTCGAAAAATAACTAAAGCAAAAAGGGCTGGCAGAGTGGCTGAAGTGATAGGGTACCTACCAGCAAGTTCAGGGACCTGAGTTCAAACTCCAATATCACCTGAAAAAAGTAAAGTAGAGCTGGGGATACAGCTCAGTGGTAGAGCACTTGCCTAGCATGTACAAGTCCTTGGGTTCAGTCTCTAACACCACAAAATAAAAGTGAGGGGAGACTAAGAAAGGGGGAGAATTTGATTAAAATACATTATATGTGTATGTATAGAAGTACCACAGTGAAATCCCTTTGTATACTTCATTTATACCAATAAAAGTAAAGTCAACTTGATTACAGAGAACAGGTGGTTCGTTCTTGTCCTCATAACTGGTACCACTGCTGTGAATTACAGGAGAAAGGGTTGATTTGGTGGCTCTGATGTATCTTAAGTGTGAGTGGTTTTTCAGTTGGACTAGTACAGTTTACTTGGTGTTTTAGTAAAATGAAATATTTAATCAGAACATGTAAAAGTCATCCCAAAGGAAAAAAAAGCCACGTGAGAACGATAAACCCATAATTCCCTCTTATGAAATAATTAAGATTTAGTGATTTAGACTTATAATTCAGTAAAATGCATACAATGTACAAATTCAGAATCTTCCCTCAAATTATCTTTACAGATAGGTATATCATGCTGATTTTGTTTTAATTTCATATCTATTAAGAATGGAGAGACTAGTATATGGAACCCATGTCCTATCACCCAACCTCAGTAATTACCAGTTTATGGCCACTATTGTTTCATCTGAATAACCAGGTTGGTTTTAAATCTCGCTAAGTTTTTAAATATCGAAATTTTACTTTTCACTTAGGTTAGGCACTTTGGAAACCCTAAAACATCACCAAAGAGTTTGCAACGTAGAAAATCAAGAAGTAAGGACTATGATGTATATAGTGATAATGACACCTGTGGTCAGGAACCAGAAGATAATTTTGCCAAAGAACTTCAACAGTACATCCAAGCTAAAGAAATGGCAAGTGCTGCTCAAGCTTTGCCACTTGATGAAGAATTTGTGAAGAAAGAGGGAGCAAAAGATACACGACAGAGTAAGTACCAAACTGTTAGGATTTAAAGTTGTTCATGTTTGGACAGGGTTTTTTTCTCCTGCGCTTTCTTATGATACAAACAAGGATTTTATGGGTATTTATACCAGACATGATCTTGCTTAATGTGAGACCACACCTGAGACCTGGTCACTTGATGTGTAAATTCTCAACCATTTGTAGGAAAACTGGGGGACTAGAGATGGTTATCAAAGTCCATGGCTAGAATGTGAAATCTCTGGCCTGTGCAAGTGTGAAAGATAGGATGTGCCTGTTTGTATTGATGTCATTTAAAGAAGAGTTGATTAGAATGGTTGTATAACAAACTATAACTTAGATATTTTTATATTACTAAGATGGGACTTAACAGATACAAGGGTAATTGGCAGTTGTAAATGAGATTCTTGATGCTTTTTTTCTTTTGTTTTTAGTTTGTTTGTTTTACCTCCAAGTGTTTCTTCCATTCAAAATATATCTGTGGATAAACTTAATCTAAGTGAAATATAGTGAATTATCTGATTGTCATTTTTTTTTCTTGTAATGCTATGATGATTCTTAATTAGATCCTTCATACCCTGATCACGTCAAAGCTTCTGGCTGTGACTGTTAATTGATTTTATTAATTATCTTGCTTTTATTTCCTGACAGTTATTTTCAAAAATAATGAATTGAGAATTCAGGATGTGTTATAATTCTCTTTTTGGTCTCTTTAGTTTCAGAGCTTCTAGAAAGACAGGTCAGTATCATCACAGTTTTCCCTCTTTGCACTGTAGAGAACTTTTCCTGAATTTATTGTAAGGTGTATGTACTTCTTTGGTGGTAGTAGGTTTTGAACTCATTGCGTTATGCTTGCTAGGCAGGTGCTCTACTACTTGAGCCACTCCACCAGCCCCAGGTGTATGTGTTTCTTAAGATTAAATTGATTGTATAAGTTTATGTCATTTAAAAAATTAATTTTGTGTTGTTTTTAGCTGCTAAACCAAAAAATAAAAACCTTAAAGCTGGTCACAAGAATGGCAAACAGAAGAAAATGAAGCGAAAATGGCCTGGCACTGGAAACAAAGAATCAAATGCCTTACTGAGAAACAGTGGCTCACAGAAAGAGGTACAGGAACGTATTCTTGAAGGTCAGCTATGTGCTTTGGGATTTTATCTTCTAAGGGATATGGAGAGGTGAGAGCATCCCAGAGAATCAGAGTTATCTGAGTATGGAGGTCTCCTCTTGCCATCAAAGGGCTGTCCGCGATCTTCCTCCTTACCATTACCACGTCCTTCCCTCTCATGCATTAGCTGCCAGCACCCATTTTCAGCCTTAGTGTATGTTGTCTCTGAATGTATGTAGCAAGTCCCTTGATTTTTTGCATTATACTGCCAATAACTGGAACAACAGGAGGCAGAAGATAAAGTAATCCTGGAGACATTTCAAAGACACAGAGTTTTACAGTTTATACTATTGAAGCCCCTCACCTGTTACTTTGACTCCCAAATCTCACAGGTTTTTTTTTTTTTTGATTGTGCTTTATAGAAGTTCTTTCTTTTCTTAGGCTCTGTATGTACTTAGGGTGAGACAGATGATTCCTTTGGACACTTAGGAGAGCTTTTAAACTGGATGTCATGCTTTTTGTAAGACTTGGTCAAAGAGGACAATAGTGGTGGGGGACCTAGAATACCAGAAATACCAAATATCAGCTGGTTACAGTGGTGCATATCTTGTAGTCCCAGCTACTCAGGAGGCTGAGACAGGAATTCAAGACCAGCCTACATAACAGCAAGATGCCATCTCAAAAAAAAAAAGAAGAAATACCAAATTCTATGGAGTGAAATACATTTATATAAAATCTATCCCTTCATATTGTACAAGTGAGGAATTTAAAGCCCTAGGTTTCAAGTAACTGCTTATAGTTAAAAGGGCCAAGCCAGGACTGAACTTTGTTTTGTAACCCCTGTTCAGTGTTCTCTTTCATTTGGCTTACATTGACTGAACTTATTATTCAGCTAAAGCTGACAGACCTACATCAGGAGCAAATTCTAAACATGTATGTTACACTTCAGTAATAACAAATAAAACCAAAGATTTAAACTGAGACATATTTACAAGACATAATTTTGATAGTCTTATAAATAAATAGACCTTTTTGTAGAGCAGATCCCTTAAGAGACTCTATAGTTAGCTCTCTGTAGTTAGTTGCACATACCATATTCCTAAAACTGCTTACTAATTTGGTATGCAGAAGCTATACCCTATACTTTAATACATTAAAAGTTGTTTCTGAAGAGCTGAAATGAATTTTAAGCTGAAGGTATGGTTCAAGTGGTAGAGTGCCTGCCTAGCAAGCATGAGGCCCTAAGTTCAAGCCCCAGTACCACAAAAAAAAAAAAAAAGAAAAGAAAAAGATTTTAAAATTCTCCACCTGCTTTTTATGTAAAAATATTTTTATAGCTTTCTCACATCTTTGAAGGGTATATTTCTAGTCATGTAGTCACGTTTTTTTAATTTGAGCTAGTCAGTATGCTCAGCTCACACCCAATGAACATCTCATTGAAACTCTCAGTGTTTTTTGTTCATTTCATGATTCCCAGCTTTGTCTCCATAATCACTTTTTATTACAGGTATTGGCATATTTTTTTGTGTGTTTGTGGAAGTAGGGTTTGAACTCAGGGCAAAGCAAATGCTCTTATCACTTGAGCCACATCTCCAGTCCATTTTGCTCTGGTTATTTTGGAGATGGGGTCTGTCTCACAAACTACTTGCCCACACTGGTCTCCAACTACCATTCTCCCAATCTCAGCCTCCAAATTGGCTAAGATTACAGGTGTGAGTCACAGGGCATCTGGTGGCAGTTTCATTTTTTAATTTTTTTTCACTCATTTTTACTAAAAGAGGGTAAAGTATAATAAACTATTCAAATTTCACAAACACTAGAATTCTGTTGAAAACCAACAAATCATTCATTTTGTAAACTGACATAATAAAATCTCACCTGAATGCCATTTTAGAAAAGTTTTGTTTTGTTTTTTGCTTTTGTTCTTTTTGAGACAGGGTCTAGCTATGTAGCCCAGCTGACCTTGAACTCTCAATCCTCCGGTCTCTTATCCCCTGAGTGCTGTACCACTATATCTGGCTAGACGAGACACTTCTTAATGTTTTAAAAGTAATGTAGTTCAGGTTAATTTTGTGCAATAATAAAATGTTTAGTTTTGTATTTCTGACACTTTGTTTTTTGTTTTTGAAGGATGGTGCACCTAAAGAGAAGCAGCAGCATGTGAGAATGAGTCAGGGATTCATCAACCAACATACAGTAGAACGCAAGGGAAAACAAATTTGCAAATATTTTCTTGAAAGGAAATGTATTAAGGTATAAAAATGTGTAAGCAAAAGTGTACTAAAATGTAAGGTTATAGCTAAAATGAACTAAAACAAACTTGCTGTTCCATTTTAAATCATGCATGTAGGTTTTTCAAACTTTCCTTCTAGAAAAGGAAATATATTTTAAAAAGTAGATAATTTTTCGAAAAATGCTTTGTGTTAATGTTTAGGACTTGGGAAAATTTTAATCAGATATAATTTGCAAGCTAATTCATTAAGAGTGAGACTGTTACTTCTAAGACTTAATTTTTTTCTGAAACTTTTTACTTAAAGTTGAGTGGCAATTAAGTTGTTAATGACTTAACTTTAAGAAATAATAACTTGTCCTTGTTCTTTCTTATGGACTAGGGAGACCAGTGTAAATTTGATCATGATGCAGAGATAGAGAAGAAAAAGGAAATGTGTAAGTTTTATGTACAAGGGTATTGTACCAGAGGAGAAAACTGTCTATTTTTGCATAATATCCTTCATCACAAGATATTAAAACCAGAATTGTAGCTATAACAAATTTATACTATCTTAAGTCCAAACTTAGTATCAAAGTGATTAAATTGTATATAGTTTTTTTGTTTGTTTGTTTTTGTTTTTTTTTATAAGGAAAAAGAGAGGGATGTTTTAGGAAATCTTTCACATAAAGATCTTTCTTCTCAGCCTGGGTGGTAGAGTGGGCTCATAAAACCTGGTCAAGTCCAGAAAGATGTTAGAATTTCTGCTGTGACAATGACTAAGTGAATTGTAGTCATATAAGCAGAACAGATGGAATAATCATTTTCTGTTTCCCATACTATGTAGAGTCCCTTCATTTGAAGAATACCCTTAGTTCCATAAGGCAAATGTTGTAAAAATGTAGAACAGAAGCATTTTAAGGGCAGTAACATCATCACAGAAGTTGTTTTTCTTCAATCACTGAATGCAAGGAGTCTCAAATTCCAGCTTGAGGATTTTTTCCTAGAATGTTGAAGTTGTAAAAATTTATTCTGTTTGAAGTAAGCCTAATGTATAAAGGATACAGATTTGTTAGACATATTATTGTCATTGAGTTTGATTTTCCGCACCCCAAAGGATACTATAAAAATAATCACATTTTTTGAGGTATTTAAAACATACCTTTCTTTCATGTATCAGTGAAATATACCTGTAGTCCATCGTGAGAACAAGTTTGAAGGAAGAAACTATTTTGTTATGGTCACTAAGCTTGATTTATGTGATCTTTCTAAAATTAGATTTTTTTCATGTAACCCAATTAGTAACTTATTGTTTTGTATTTTAAATAAAGTATTCAGTGTTTCTACTAGAACAGCTCTTTATATAGGAAAATGTAGTTACTAAATTAATAACTAATTATTTTAGTTGTATTGAAATTATTATTTTCCTTAACATCTATGCTACATGAATACCCTTGCAAGTTTTACCATACAGGAACAAAATGTTATCAGGGAGATTTCTGTAAGTTTTCCCATGCTCCACTGACTGCTGAAACACAAGAACTGTTGGCTAAAGTAAGTGTAATTATAATCTTCTCTTTTTCTTTTAAAGAGAGTACCTCATAGGTTGGTGTGTAATAATCTAAGGATTTACCTTGATTTGGAAATTTAAAAAAAATTTTTATTAGCATAATTGTACAAAGGGATTTCATTGAGATATTTGCATATGTGCATATAAGGAACTTTGATAAAATTCAGCCCGTGTACATTATTACTCTTTTTAACCCCTTTTTTCCTCCCCCTCAGAATTATTTTTATTTGTATTTTTTAAATAGCTGAAAGGAAGATTTATATTCATTCATTAATGGTATAAACTGGAATGTATCTAAAACTTTCAAAGTAGTTAGAAAAGTTAATAGCTAAGCTAAATAAAGGAAAGCAAAACAAACTAGACAAATGGTACCCCTGTTACAAAGACTCCTAGAAAGTTACATCAAAAAATGATAAACTAGTACTTTGAAAGTACTTTTTTCAAACATTGTTTTGGTCTGAGAAAAGATTATTGAAAAATTATAGCCAATTATGTATTTACTATAAATATTACAGTCAAAAGTACATATTCTTTCATTTCCCATGTTAATTAGAGATAGTCTCTTCAAAATTAAATTGAAATATATATAAAATCATATTCTTTTAAAACCAACTGTACCATCTGTGACAGAAGTTCCCTTGAGCATATGCAAATTTTAGAAAGTTAAGTGCTTATTATTAAATGTTTTCATATTGCAAAATATAAAAGGTTACTGTGGAACTAGAAATTGTACCAGTATTTATTTGTTTACTTATGTGAAAATACATAGAGAAACTATGTATAAAATTCATTTTTCATTTCCTATTATAGTAAATATTAGATACTATTAGGACGGATGTTATTGGAATCATTTGAAAGTGTAAGAATATGACAGTGTACCTAATTAGACATTAGTGCATAAAAATAATTACATGAATTTTTTTTTCATATTAGGTTTTGGATACTGAAAAGAAGTCATGTAAATAAAGTAGGCTAAAAAGGTAAATGTAAAAAAAAATAACAAAAATAAAAAGGTGAAGGTAGAATATACCAAATTTCATTTTTATTCTCTGAAACATCTCTAAAAGTTGGAATAACAGCTAATAGAGCTTTTTCTATTCTCAAAGAGGATTTTTCTCTCCTTCCTGTCCCACTGAAGGTATTATAAAATATATGATACAAATACATAGACAATAAATATATGGATCTCTATTGGCCTCCTTCTCCATTTTAATTTGTTGTTTACATTCTTAATCTCATCTTGGTTTTTTTTTTTTTAATAGATTTTCCAAGGGTGTATCATTTGCTAAATACTGTTTAGTTTTGCTTATAGTTAACAGTACTCTGTACTAGTGTCTTGTTTTCATTCAACATCAAGCTCTTGAAATTCATTCATATAGATGCAGGTAGTTGTCATTCATTTTTACTCATACATAGCATTTCATCCTGTGAATATGTCTTGTACATTTTGGATGGACATTTTGGCTATTTTCAAATTTTAAAATAAACTTATTATAAATATTCATATATGAATATTTATACCAGTTATGTCAATTTAAGATAACATTTTTAAAGTGTTTATAACAGTTTATACTCCTATACATTATAGAATTCCTGTTGTTCTACACTTACCAATACTTTGTATTATAAATATTTTTTTTACCAGTTTACTGGTTCATAAAAATGTGTCTCATAGCTTTATTACATGAAGTACAACATTTTTCCTTAGGCATACAGTTTCATCTTTGGTGAGACACCTACTAATGTCTTTTGCCTGTGTTTCTGTTGGTCTGATTGTCCACATTGATTTTATATATTCCTGATACAGTCCTTTGTGAAGAAGTGTGTGTGGCAAGTCTGCCATTTTGTGGGCTCTCTTTTCACTTTTTTGAGGTATGTCAATGAGCAGAATTAGTAATTTTGGAATTTTTCTTGTTTTGGGTTGATTTTGTGTCTTATTTAAGAAAAATTCTTCCCTATCATGAGGCCATAAAATAATTTAATGTTCTTTTTAAGTTTTGGAGTTTTGCTGTATTCATTTATATTTTAATCCATTGGAAATTATCAGTTAACTGTTGTCACAATAATGGTGCTTAACAAACAACATACAACTCTTAGCAGCATATGATATAAAGCATTTATTTTTAAGAATCTAGATTGCTTGGGAGTTGGCCAGATATTAGGCTGGCCTTCACTAGATTGGATCTGCTTCGTAGGGTGGGTCTGTTGGGATGGTTCTGTCCCATGTTTGTTATATTCTCTTCCTAGAACCAGTAGGCTTTCCAGGGCACATTGTCCAATATAAGTCACATGGCCAAGCCCAGGCTGACCTTGAACTTGAGATCCCCCTAGCTTAGCCTCGAGTGCTGGTGTTACAGGTATAAGCATCACAAGTAGAGATGAAGTGGTATTTTCCTAATTGACTAATGGTGTTGAATATCTTTTCATGTGCTTCCTGCCATCGTTCAATTCAGTTTTGTCCATTTTTACTAGTGCATATATTATACCATGTGAGGGGTTTCACTGACCTTTTACTCTATTACTCTTTTCTTATCTACCCTCCCACACCCTTTTTAAACCTTCCTTGCAAATATTTAAATGGGTTTCACTGACCTTTTTCATATAAGTTACAATGTACTTCTACCACACCCTCATACTGTCTGTTCACCTCTGCTTCCCACTAGTTCACCCCGAAATAGTCCCCTTTATGTTCATGTCCTTTTTCTTTCCTTTAGCTCTAGATTCTGCATATGAGAGAAAGCATCAATATTTGTTTTTCTGGCTCTGGCTTATTTCACTTAACATGATCTCCAGTTTCATCCCTTTTCCTACAAATGACATAATGTCATTCTTCCTTATAGCTGAATAATACTCCATTGTATATATACCCCTTTTTATTTATTCATTCTTCTGTTGATGGGCACCTAGACTGATTCCGTAATTGGCTATTGTGAATAGTGCTATGATAAACGTGGTGTGTTTATAGGTATCTATAGTATTTTGTATGCTGATTTGCATTCCTTTAGGTATGTGCCCAGCAGAGGTATAGCAGCATCGGATCATAGTTCAACTTCAATTTTTTGAGGAACCTCCCTACTACTTTCCGTAATGGCTACACTAATTTACATTTCTACCAACAGTATATGAGGGTTCCTTTTTCGCTCACATCCTTGCCAGCATTTATTGGTTTTTTTGTTCGTTTTTACTACACTACTGGGAATTGAACTCAGGGCCTTGCATTTGCTAAGCAGGTGCTCTATCATTTGAGACACACCCCAGTCCTTTTGCTTACGTTTAGTTTATTTTTCAAATAGTCTCCCACTTTTGCCTGGGCCTGCCTTGGACCACAATCCTCCTACCTCTACCTCCCAAGTAACTGGGATTATAGATGTGTATCACCACACATGACCTTGTTTGCTTGATGATAGCCATTCTGAGTGGGGTGAAATGGAATCTTGATGAAGTTTTGATTTGCATTTCCTTTATGGCAAAGGATGTTGAGCACGTCTTCAAATGTTTATTGGCCATTTGTACTTCTTTTGAAAACTGTTCCATTCATTTGCCAATTTATTGAATTTCATTATTCTTTTGGTTAATTTTTTGAGCTCTTTATATATTCTAGATAGTAATCCCTTGCCAGATGAATAGATGGCAAAGATTTTCTCCTGTTCTGTAGGCTTTCTCTTTACTTTGATAGTTGTTCCTTTTGTTGTACACGTGCTTTTAAATTAGAGGCAATCCCATTTGTCAGTTCTCTTATTTGTTGAGCTCTTGGAGTCCTATTAGAATGCCGTTGCCTAAAGGGGAATCTTAAAGTGTTCCCCCTATGTTATCCTCTAGTAGTTTCAAAGTTTCAGGTCCTACATCTGTTTTGAATTGACTTTTGTACAGGGAAAGAGGGGTCTAGTTTCAATCTTCTATATGTGGATATCCAGTTTTCCCAGCACCATTTATTGGAGAGGCAGTCTTTTCTCCAATGTGTTTTTGGCACCTCTGTCAAAAATTGTATGGTTATAACTGGACTTACTTCTGGGTCCTTTAGTCCATTGGCCTATGTGCCTGCTTTTGTACCATGCTGTTTTTGTTACTATGGCTCTATAGTATAATTTAAAATCAAGTATTGTGGTTACTCCAGCATTGCTCTTTTTGCTCAGGATTGCTTTGGCTATTCTAGGTTTTTTTGCTTCCATATGAATTTTTAAATTGCTTTTTCTTTTTTTTTATGGTGGCACTGGGGTTTGAACTCAGGGCCTCACATTTACTAGGCAGGCACTCTTATTGCTTGAGCCACTCCGCCAGCCGCTTTTTTGTGATGGGTTTTGGCAAGATAGGGTCTCCTGACCTATTTGCCAAGGCTGGCTTCAAAGTGCTATCCTCCTGATCTCTGCCTCCTGAGTAGCTAGAATTACAGGTATGAGCCACTGGTGCCTGGCCTGAATTGCCTTTTCTGTTCTGTGAAGAATGACATTAGGATTTTCATGGAGATTGCATTGAAAATGTAGTTTGCTTTCAGTAATGTAGCCATTTACCCAATTAATTCTGCCAATCCATGAACTTGGGAGTCTTTCCAAGTTCTTCTTTTTCTTTCCTCAGTGTTTTATAGTTTTCATTGTAGAGGTCTTTTATCTCCTTAATTAAAGTTGACTCTTAGGTTTTGGGTTTTTTTTTTTTTTTTTTTTTTTGAGGCTTTTGTTAATAGGATTGTTTTCCTGATTTTTCTCAGCATGTTCACTATTCATTTGTACCTACTGATTTTTATATGTTGATTTTGTATCCTGCTATTTTGCCCAAAGTATTTTTAAGATTAAAGTGTTTTATTGTACAACCTTTAGTGCTTTTAAAGGATCATATCATCTACAAATAGGGAGAATTTGACTTCTTCCTTTCCTATTTGTATCCCTTTTATTTCTTTCTCTTGCCTTATTGGTCTGGCTAAGAATTCAAGCACTATAATGAATAAGTGGGATAGTGGACACCTTTGCCTTGTTGCTGACTTCAGAGGAAATTCTCTCATCTGTTCCTTGTTTAGTACAGTATTGAGTACAGACGTACACATGCTGATCGTGGACATGCACATGAATATGATTTGAGGAATGTAAGTGTGTTGAGGAATGTTCCTTCTGTTTGTATTTTCTTCAGGATGTTGAATTTTGTCAAGCACTTTTTTCTGCATCTATTGAAATGATCATTTGATTTTTGTCCTTAATTTGATTTATATGCTGTATTTTATTGATTTGCATATGTCGAAGCATCCTCAGATTCCGGGAATGAAACTAATTTGATCAATTTCCTTTCCGTCTGCCCCCAGCCCCCAACCCCAGGGAGCCAGAGTTAGAGCTATGGACTCTCCTCTGCATAGCATTTCTGTTTCTCCTTGGGTTTTCATCTGTCTTGTCACCTGTTTCATGATTCCCTCTTTGGAATATGTCAGTCCTTTTGTTACCCTGACTCTTCTCATTCAGAGTCACTAGGTGAAAGATTCTGCCATTTCACCCCAGAAGCCAGTGTAATATTTCTATACTGTGACAGTGTCCAGTATAGATTAGATCAAGTCTAATCTCCCTTTATTCACCTCACTTACCCACTCATCCTCACACACACCCTTTTCACACTAGTCATCACTATTCTACTTTCAGGTTGACGTTTCTCACCTTCCTCATGAGAAAGAACATTTGGTACTTGTCTTTCTATGCTATTTCACTAATTGTAATATATTTGTTATATTTGTATGTTCTTCCTCTATATTGTCTTTGCTGTTTATTAAATTTTACTTTCTTCGTCTCATTTTCATTCTTTTTCTGCTTTTTTTCCAATAATTTTTCCTACATCTTCATTGAAATGTATTCTTTCTTATTAATGTAGTCTTCAGTTTTTATATGATTTTGTTTTTTCTTTTATATCATTTGTGAGGTCAGTAAACTCTTGCTTAATTATTTCCATTTTTGTTATTCAGTTCTTGTCTTAGTTTTTGAATGTCAAATCAAGGTTCTTCTTCCCAAAGAATATTTAATTCATTTTGGATTTTTGTATTGTTTTTCTGCTGCTACATTTTTTAGGGGAGGGAATTATGGAGGGACCAAATTTGTAATTTTTGCAACCTAATGTGTTGTTCTTTGTTTTCTTCTGTAGCTCTGTATAGGTGAAGAGTGCTCATGCCACACCTGTTCAAGACTGTTCAAGACTGATAAGATTCCTCATTTAAAGCGCCCTCTTGTGCCATTGTGGTGGTGTGCAACTTCTTTAATGGATAGTGCAGAGGGCAGAATCTTGTGCTGAAGTGAAGGGGTTGGTCTTCACTGGGGTGCTCCAACTGTTAGGACAAGAAAGGAGCATATGTGACAGATATGCTGACTGGTGGGTTAATATTGTGGTATTAAATTACAGAATTCTCTTCTGAGTGAGATTTTTCAATAAAATAGAAAGTTACTCTGAGGATAGGTAACAGTGTAGGAAGTTTGAGAGTTAAAAACTGATAAGAATATACTGGAATAATATGCAATACCACCTAATGATGTGGAGTTAGGGCTCTACATATCATTAAGGACTTTCACAGTGTGTTTTTTAATGGATGCTTACAATTCCATTTTATGGCTTAGAATAAAATATGATTCTGTGATTTTTTTTAAAACCAATTTCTTGTTGGACATTTGTTTCCAGTTTCTTACTATTATAAATAAAGTGGAGTAATATCTCTTGCTATACCATTCATTAACTTGATTTTCTTTTTTTTTTTTTTGTCTTTTCTTTTTTGGTGCTGGGATCGAACCCATGGCCTTGCGCATGCTAGGCAAGTGCTATACCACTGAGCTACATCCCAGCCCTTGATTTTCTTAAAATATAAAAATATTTATCTTTTTCAGATTGGTTCACAAGCTATAATTGGGTTATGCACTTGTATAAAATATAAACTTTAGACATTTTATGATATCTTCAGTATAATACATGGATACAAAAATTTCCCAAGTATAATGTGATTGTAAATATGCACTTATTTATAGTAATACTGATTATTATTAGACAAGTACTATGAAGCACAGATATTATTATATGGTTTTATTGCTGGAAAAAATGATAGTATCACTAACAAGCTAATACATTCAGAGTACACCATTCTAGTGACACTTCTTAGCAAAGTCCTTTTTGACTATATAAGCCAAAGTTATTTTGGTTGTAATCCAATTCCACTAAAGCAAGAAAGGGAATTGCATGTACTCCAAGCAGATGTTTATCAGATAAAAGGAAGAAACCAGGAAGAGCTCCCTGGAATCTTAGAGCAGGAGACTGAGTGAGAGTAAGCCATGTCTCCATCCCTGTTCCTGTGTTAATTAGTCCACTCCCTAGCTGCAAGACAATGGAGTAGAAACTGCTAGAAGAAATACAGAGGAGAGCATTTGAGGTGGTACTTTAAAATAGTCTATGTTACAGTATAATTTGATAATAAAGTTATGCAAAGGAGTGGTTTTATTACTCGTAGAATAGGTACTTTGTATCTTCTCTAACTATCACATGTAACTTTAAGGAATTAAAGATCCTGTCATAGCCCGCATCTTTTAAAAGGTAAATTTTATGGCCAACCCATATGCAAGCTAACATTGACCAACATTAACAATGAACTAACCTTTTGCACAACTACCATGTGCCAGTTAGTATGCTGTTTTTATTTTATACTGTTTAACTTTCTTTGTGAAGCCTCATGTAACATCACTTTATGTGATGGATAATGTGATCAGTTGCATAGAAAGAGAATAAATAGGAACATTTACTTTGTATTTTTTAAATTTTCATGAGTCCTACAAATACTTATAATTAATTGTATATGATAGTCTAGCAATTCATTTCCTAATACTACCTCATCTATAATTTAATACATGTGAAGTATAAATGTTTATATAAGTTTATATATAAGAAAAAAATTCTTGCATTCCTGAGGCAGTACGTATCTCACCTATAAATTTCAAAAAATTAAACAAGTTCAAAGAGCTTTAAAGTCAAATAGAAGTTCATACACCTTATTTTGCAGTAAGTTATTTCGAAGAGGCAGGCATATCCGTATCAGTGGAGTCTCTTAACTTGTGTTAAATCAAGTTGGGAGAGAGTCGTACTTTCTTAAGTGTGCCCTGCACATCCACATTATGGTTTGGGACTCTTTAATACCTGGGTTATTGTAGCACCTTCCAACTGATGGCCTCCCTCCGTTCTCTACTTTTTCTTTTCAGTTCACCCTGGGTTCCTGAGAGCAGATTTCCCAATGTACTACTTCAGCCATGCCTCCACTGTGTAGTATCCACACTGAAGATCAGTTTGTCTGCCTGATTTTCAAGGTGCTTTGTAGTTTAGCCATTGCAGTTATAATAAAAGAGATGCTTCATTAAGAATTGCAGTTCAAAATGTGTATATATATATATGTACGAATCCATTTGCTAGAACAAAATGCCTAAGGCTGGGTACTTTATTTTAAAAAAAGATGTTTATTTAGTTCAGTTTTGAAGGCTGCAAGTCAATTTATTTGGCTTCTGATAGAGTCCTCTAACTGCAGAAAAGTAAAAGGGGAAATGGCTGTGTTTAAATGGGATCAAGTATGTGAGGTACTCACATTTTATAACAACCCACTCTTAAGAACTCACTTCGCAAAACCAGCATTAATTCCTTCCAAGAGCAGTGCCCTCAGTGCCCTAATTACCTCACACTAGGGTTTACTTCTTAATGGTTTTACCCTCTTACTACCACACTTGAGGAACAAAACTATAGAATGTGAGCCTTGGCAGTACAAATCACTTCCAAACCATAGAAACACCCTACAAAGTTCACAATTGAAAGGAGAAATAGGCAAGTTCACAGCTATAGTTAGAAACTTCAACATTCTTTTCTCAGTAATTTGTAGAACTACTAGACAGAACAATGATGTAGAGGAACTGAGCGACATCCATTAACTTGGTCTGACATGTATTGATGATTTCATAGATGAGTAGAATGCATGTTCTCCCAAGTGCTCATGGAACATTCACCAAGATAAACCATCTCCTGTTTTATAAAATAGACCTTATAGCATATAGGTCAAATAAGTCTCGAAAGAATTTAAAGATATTTGGGGGAAAGTGAAAAATACTAATTTTTTACATTAACTTAGGGATTTAGGCAGGCTGGGCAAAAATGCAAGACCATAACTAAAAAAATAACCTAAAAACGGCTGGAGATGCAGCTCAGGTGCAGAGTGCTTGTCTTAACCTCATGACCCTGAGTTCAAATCCCATACAACAAAAAATACCGAAAGAATAATTCAATTAATAAATGGGCAAATGAGCAGATCTCAAAAGTACAAATGGCCAATAAACAAAGAAATGTTCAGTATCCTTAACCATAAAGGAAATGCAATAAAACTACACTGAAATTCCATCTCACCCCAGTCAAAATGACTGTCATCAAGAAAACAAGCAAAGCCAGGCATCGGTGGCTCACATCTATAATCCTAGCTACACAGGAGGCAGAGATCGGGAGGATCGAGGTTCAAAGCCAGCCTGAGCAAACAGTCTGTGAGACCCTATCTCGAAAAAACCCATCACAAAAAAGGGCTGGTGGACTGGCTCAAGATATAGGCCCTGGGTTCAAGCCCCAGTACTGCAAAAAAACAATAAATGCTGGTGAGGAGGGAGGGAACCCTTATATACCGTTGGTGGGAATGTAAACTAGTGCAACCACATGGAAATCAGGATAGAAGTTCCTGAAAAAGAAAATGTAGAACTACCGTATGGTTCTGCTATACCACTTCTGCACATATATCCAAAGGAATGTAATTCAGTGCACAATAGATACCTGCATACCCATGTTTATAGCACCACTATTCACAATAGCCAAGTTATAGAATCAGCCTAGGTTTTTATCAACCAATGAATGGATAAAGAAAATGTATATATACACAATGGAGTATTCACTCATAGAGGAATGAAATTATACCATTTGCTGGAAAATGGATAGAACTGGAGACCATCATATTGGCAAGATAAGCCAGACTTAGAAAGATAAGTGTTGCATATGTAGAATCTAGGTCTAAAAGAAAAAAAAAATGAAATGAGATGAATGTAAAATGCTGGGGATGGGTGTGAGGGATAACTCAGTTGGAGGAGGGAAGGTGAACAGAGGGTGAAAGGTGAACATGATCAAAGTACTTTATATACATGTATGAAAATAGAATAATGAAGCCAATTAAGAAGGAGGTTAAGGAAGTAATGGAGGGGGGTAAATTTAACCAAAGGAGTATATTATATGCATGTATGAGAATACTGTATTGAAATCCCTTTACATAATCAGTACTAATTTGTGTGTGTGTGTGTGTGTGTGTGTGTGTGTGTGTGTGTGTTACTGAGGCTTGATCTCAGGGCCTTCTTGAGCTACTTCACCAGCCCTATTATTGTGAAGGGTTTTTTCGAGATAGGGAGGGTCTCGTGGAACTATTTGCCTGGGCTGGCTTTGAACTGTGATCCTCCTGATCTCTGCCTCCTGAGTAGCTAGGATTAAAGGCGTGAGCTACCGGTGCCTGGCTAATATACACTAATTTTTTTTTAAAGAAAAAAATCCATAAAATTGAAAATTAGTAGAGAAAAATAAATGAAACCAAAAGATGGTTCTTTGAAAAGGTCAATAAAATGAATAAAACCCTAGGCAGACTGATAAAGAAATGAAGGGAGAAGACACAATACCAGTTTCAGAATTGAAAAAGGAGATATTACCAGAAGTCCTGCAAGAAATTAGAGGATACTACAAACAGCCATATGTACAGAAATTTGGAACCATGGACAAAATTCTCCAATTCCTCTAAAAAGCACAAATGATCTAAATTCATAAGAAGAAATGGAGTGGGCTGGCTGGGGTATATATAGCCCAGTGGTAGAGCACTTGCCTACCGTATGTAAGGCCCTCGATTTGAAAGAAGGAGGAGTAACAGGAGGAGGTGGAGGAGGGGAAAAAGGGAGGAATCTCATTTAGAGAGTCCAAAACTCCATTTTATGTATAGCGTTTTTGAATGCATCTGTTTGCACAGATTTTTTAGTGTTTTCACTAAACATATGAAAGTGATACTTATGTAACAATCCAAAATATTTAATGCAACTTCTGGTAGATGAGAATTTATGTCTTTCATTTGTTTGAGACAGGGTCTCTCTATGTAGTCAGGCTAGCCTCAAACTCAAAATCCTCCTGTCTCTGCCTCCCAAGTGCTGGGATTACATGCATGTATCACCACACCTTGCTTGCCATTTTGTTATTTCTTTTCTAAGTGCTTTATGGCCTTTTTCTTCCTTCATTAATTATTTGTGTTAAATATTTTCTAGTGTACCATTTTAATTCCTTTGGTTATTTCTTTACTATGTGCACCTGAATTATTTTAATGGTTGCACTGGGGATAACAACAATTTAAAACACTCCAGTTCAGATTAATACCACTTTGATTTCAATAGTAGACAAAATAAATCCTTTCCAGTATAGCTTTTCTCCCTCTTTCCTCCTTTAATATTTATTCAAATTAAGTTTATATACATATACACATATACTATT